AACGATAATCTTTTTATTAACATGTGCGGACACATGTGGTGTAATTGTTATACATATAGTAATTATATCATATTATAAATGTAAACCTTTTAAATTTATAATCTTGTCTTTTTAATTTAATTCCTATGTTTAATAAAGTTCAAGATAAATATTCAAATTTTAACTCAAGTTTAAATAGTATTCAAATTTAATTAATTAAATATTCAAATTTAAATTCCAGTTAAATAATATTTCAAATTAATTACAAAATTCGAATATTCAGATTTAAACAATTAAACTAATCTTTCAAATGAAAGTCTTGTCCTTAGATTTTTTAAATCAGTCAAAATCCCAAAATCTGAAAAATACGCCAACCGCGCTACGGCCAACAGGTGGTCACGTCGTGGCTGCGATTAACAGGTTTCTTTATTTTTGATTTTTACAAAGTTTATGCAAAAAACTAAAATATATTGGCTCTGATACCATTGTTAGGTTTCTTTAGCATCAAATAGACTATCTAAGGTTGCAAAAACAATCAAAGGATTTACCTAAGTGTACATGCACCTTTGAATCTAGGTTTTACTAGTTTTAACAACATACTTTGAAAAATTACTAATCACTTGATTGTTTGATTATGATCTTGTGACTGCAAGTTTGTCGCTATGGATGAAGGATCCAATATAACACCCCACTAATGAAGTCATACCCACAACACCAAAAGTAAAATTAATTAATTTAGGGTTTATGCAAAATTCACTAACCTTAGGAGAGGGCTTATGAATTTTGTATACTATGAGAGAGGGAGATATGTGGAATATTTCTAGGAGAATCACCAGGACCAGGGTTTAACCCCTAGCAGCCTATTTATAGGCAGGAGATAGAATCCTTAAAGGATTCAAACTTTAGGATTAATCATTATCTTATTTAAACCTGCCATATCCATATCCAATGAGCCTTCAAAACCACCCCTACAAGCTCTCCAGGAGCTTCTGGAATATTCTAATTAATCCCTTGGATCAATTAATATTCAAACTCTTTAATTAATTAAAAACTTTTAATTAATTACCAAAATAATTTCTAATTAATTTATTAATTCCTTAATAAATTAACAACTTATTTATCTTCATTTCCTTATGATATTTGGATCATGAGGCGAACCCAAAGGACCCTGCCATTATTAGAAATATTACCAAAACAGTTAATGATCTTGAACATTATTTCCAACAATTACTATACATGTACGACAAACATACAACTTGTGTCCTCACATGTTTAATTAAAACATTGTCGTCGAACTATGAGTAGGCTTACCATATCTGATGCTTTAAGAGAGGTTTAAGGGAGTCTCTATGATTCCTAATGAGGTCCACTTTTAAAAGTCATTTGGCTTACCACCCTCACTGCCCCTTTTCATTTTGAAAGTGGAGTTACTGAATGGGTTTGATTGGATGCTCTTCAATGGCGAAGCTAATTAAATGCAAGAGTGGGCCATGGCCCACCCTAATAATTTGAGGATATATATATATATATATATATATATAATATATATATATATATATATATATATATTATAATATAATTTTTTTTAGTGAATACAAGTTTTGGACTACAGTGGCCCACCCACAGTCTGCAAAAGTATGTTTAGTTTTTTTTTTCATTGAGCAGCAAATTCATTTAACATCAGGGAAACGCTTTTTGCCGGCATCTCAATTAATTAAGCATTGATTTTACATTTTTTATCGTATATTCGTGTGTATTTTATAAATTAGATTGTTAATTGTTGCTATGAAGTAGTTATATGAATAATTGTATTATGTGTTATTGTATTACATATAAGTTTGCTTTGTATACAAATATAAGATTATGTTTGTAATTGAATTTTTCTGTGATTAGTGAATTTCGTTGAACAATGGGAACAAAGCAAAAAAAGATTGGATTTATTTTTCACGCGTAATGTTTTACCAAGAGGCGAAGAGAAAAACACGTCATCATCATCATTACCGGTTGGGAAACCTCAATCACCTCCAGAAGATCATAACCCTTTACCATCTTCAACAGCTAAAAACCTTGCACCATCTCCAACGGTTGAGAATCCTACCTTTTGTTCTATTGAACATGATCCTGGCCTACGTCTACCTATATGGAAATATGCAGCCAATATGAAGGATGAAATCAGACGAGCATACTTAAGATCGGGGCCACATCAACCTGTGTTGCCTAAATATCCTCCATCTGGGTCAAAAAGTCATCGACGACGTTTCCAGTCTAAATGGTATTCCGAATTTCCTTGGCTTGAGTATTCTAAAACTAAAGATAGAGCATATTGTTTTTATTGCTATATTTTTCTTGAAGAATCAAATACCCATAATGGTCATGATGCATTTACAACCAATGGTTTTAAAAACTGGAACAAAGTTAAAGGGAAACATTGTTCATTTAAGAAACACATTGGAGATATACCAAACTCTCAACATTACAATGTTGTGCGATTTTGTGATACTTTGATGAATCAATCGGTACATATTGATAAAGTGATGCAAAAACAGTCTGCTGATCAAATTGAAAAGAATAGGCTAAGGGTGAAAACATCAATAGATGTTGTTCGTTTTCTTTCATTTCAGGGGATTTCTTTCAGAGGGCATGATGAGAAAATTGATTCAAAAAATCGTGGCAACTTCATTGAGTTAATCAAGCACACAACTTCTTACAATGAAGAGGTTGCAGGTGTCGTTTTAGAAAATGCACCCGACAACGCGAAATACACTTCACCTGAGGTTCAAAAAGAAATTTTACATGTTTTTGCTGAGAAAGTACGAAAAAAGATAGTTGAAGATATTTGTGATTCTAAATACTGCATAATCGTGGATGAGGCTAGTGATGAAAGTGAGAAAGAACAAATGGCCATTGTTCTTAGATATGTTGACAAGAAAGGTTACATACAAGAACGATTTTTTGATCTTGTCCATGTCAAAGATACATCATCTTCCACTTTGTATTCTTCTATATGTGAAACTCTTACTTCTTATGAGCTTGTTGTTGAGAATCTTCGTGGACAGGGGTATGATGGAGCTAGCAATATGCTTGGTGAATGGAAGGGATTACAAGCATTATTCCTTAAAGATTATCCATGTGCTTATTATATACATTGTATGGCTCATCGGTTACAACTTGCGTTGGTTGCAGCAGCTAGAGAAGTAATCTATGTACATGGGATTTTTTCCAAAATTTATCTTTCATTGTGAATGCCGTAGGTGCTTCTTGTAAACGACAAGATGAGCTACAAGCTGCTCAAGCTACTGAAATTGCAGAATTGTTAGAATCTGGTGAAATTAATACGGGTAAAGGGGCTAATCAAATTGGTACTTTAAAGCGTGTCGGAGACACTCGTTGGAGCTCACATTTTACTTCTATTAGTAGTCTTCTTCGGATGTATAATCCAACTTGTACGGTTTTGGAAAACATAAAAAAAAGCAGGCTCTAATTATAAAACAAAAGGTGATGCTAGTATCGCGTTAAAAAGAATGACATCTTTTGAATTTGTTTTCATTTTACATATGATGAAACAAATTTTGGGAATTACTGATACTCTTTGTCAAGCTTTACAACAAAAATCTCAAGACATCATAAGTGAAATCACAATGGTCTCCCACACAAAGAAACTGATTGAAACCCTTAGAGCTAATGAATGGGCAACTTTTCTTGATGATGTCGTTGAGTTTTGTAAGAAGCATGATATTGATATTCCTGAATTCAAAGATCCTTATTTTGAAGGGAGAAGCAACAGGAAGGGAGGTCATATTACTATTGAGCATCACTATCATTTTGATATATTTAATGAAACTATTGATTTTCAGTTACAAGAAATTGATACAAGGTTCAATGAAAGAGTTGTAGAGCTTTTAGAACTTAGTCTTGCTTTGAATCCAAAGGAGGGATATAAACGCTTCAATTCTGATTCTATTTGCAAACTTGCAAAGAAAATATTATTATCTTGATTTCACAGAACAGGAAATAGATGTTCTAAAATTTCAGTTGAAGCACTTTGAAGCTTATGTGAAGGACCATCCATTTTTGGGAAAGCTGTCATCTATTGTTGAAGTATGTCAAGGCTTGGTAGAGACAGGGAAAGCAAGTCATTACTATCTTGTTGACAGATTGATTCGGCTTGTGTTGACCCTTCCGGTGTATACTGCGACTACTGAGCGTGCATTTTCCGCCATGAAAATTGTAAAGAATAGACTGCGTAACAAGATGGATGATGATTTTATTGTTGATAGTCTAGTTCTTTACATAGAGAAAGATATCGCTAAGAAATTTAGTTTAGACTCTATTTTAGATGATTTTAATGATGTAAGAGAGCGTCGTGTGCAACTAAAATGAACAATTTACTTTAAAAATGCATACATTGTTACATTTTATTATCGTTTGAAGTATTTTGCTACTTGTTTATATTTTGTAAATTATTTGGCATACCCAAAAACAAAATCTTGGCTACCCCAATGCTCTTCAAGATTAAAAGTATTGACTAAAAGTAATAAAAATTTTTATGTTTTATGTTAAAACTATAAGTCGTGTGCTACCCATGAAAACGCATATTTCGTTTATATTTTGATGATGGAGCATATGTACCTAACTGAGACGTCATTGCGAGAATATAATTTTGAAATGATGTGTGATGAGAATATTTCTTGTATTAAGAACAATTTTTATACTTTTTCTCGGTACATATCACTCTTATCTTTCTCTCTCTACATACCTCTCTCCTCTTTTTCCAACAAAAAAACTTTCCCGATACCATTTCTCTAATCACCAGAGCTGGTTTCTACCAGATCTGAAGCAAAAGGCATTGTTTCTCGATCTCGTTTCACTGGATTTGAAGAAGGCCACATATCTGAAGTAAGGGTTGGACCACTATCACCGGAGAGGAAGGCATCGCCGGAAGGGAGGATCGTTCACCTGAATCATGGTTGTGAATTGATTAATGAAATTGAAGGTGTATCCATGAGAGAAGCTTCAAGGAGATGTCTGGCGTCAAGAATATGATCGTTCACCTGAATCATGGAAAGAAATTGGACCACAAGTCTGCTTGTTATGAAGATCATGGACTCCACCACCAACCGTTCACAGCCACCAGCGACAATGACAGTCTATCGACCACAACTTCTCAAGTTCTCCTCCATCCAGTTCTATGGCTGCTCTTGGCTTCGTGTAAATCAAAAGGTTATTGATTCAGTACATTTAAGCATATAGACAATACAAGTTTGGCTTTAAAGGAACCTAGCAAGAAGATCGATGGTCGTATTACGGGAGCGTCGTCGGCTAGGAATGTTGTCCACCGTCTCCAAGCTCTACTCCGAGAATGTTGTCCACCACCGCAAAGCCCGACTTATATGGTGCGATTAGGTTTAAAAAACTCTTTAGGTGTGATTACGGTTCCCCCAACCTTCTCAAGCACTGAACCTTAGAAGGTTTAAATCGATGGATGCCGGATCTTAATAAGTCGTTTTGAACGCCCACTTACAGACTCGATTGGTGATTTGAGGCTTAATCGTTATTATTTTGGATTTTCCCTTGATTATTTTTCCCTTTTCTACAGTGGCATGAATTTCAATTTGAGGCACATAAGGGTTATTGAGCGATTCATAAGCATAAAGATGTTATTAAGCTTGTTGAGGAAGATGGCAATTTGGATTCTATTTTGGAGAATGCTTGACCCGATCTACCAACAAGAAGCCATTGATGGCTTGCTTCCCAAGAAGGGATTATACTAATGAATAATAGACTGAGAAGGCAGAAAATTGGAAGCAATTTCGATCGGAATTACCACTAAACAGGTATGAGTTTGATTTATTGATTTATAGCATGGGTTAACATTGAATTACGATATTGTTTTAGCGGGTTGAGTCCACCAATTTAAACCCTTAAATCTAATTTGTTTCATTTCTAGAACCTAATTATCTAGTTTTTGAATTTATGATATCTTATCCACTTCCCGAGCATAAAATGGTGTCTAGTCTTAGTGTAGCTGTTTGGCTATTTATTGACGGTTGTAGAATTCAACTTGGTTGTTTATTTATTTTTATTATAAATCGTCATATGATTGTTTTCAAGAACTACTCTTCACACTTTACGCATCTTGATATTTACTTTATTGTATTTGCAACTCATTATTTATCATTTATGTTCGATTGATGTTCATTAGTTTAACTTTTTTTTATATGCTTTAATTTTGATTTTAATTTTTGTTAGACCATCATTGTTTTAAGTTTTGATTGTTTAGGATTTTTTTAGTATCAAACAACATGTCTACTTATAGCTTGTTTTGGTTTAACAAAATTTTGTATCTACAAAATTAGTGGTTGCATTCTATCTATTTGATTAAATGTATGTAAAGGTTTTTCCTTATAACAGGATTTAATCACATGTGATTATATACATATAATCACATGTGATTATATATATATATATATATATATATATATATATATATATACACTAGTAGTCGATCCGCGCAATGCGGCGACGGCGATTAGTTTCATTTCAAATAGTAGACTCTAGGCGACGATTGTTTTTCTTTTTGCATACGTGAAAATGTTTCGTTTCTATGACCAATGTTGTTTTTGCTTGAATGTATAAGTATGCTGCTTATTCGGGTTTAAATGAAAAACATTTTGTTGGGTCTGGTTATTTTCATTTATGTGAATAGTTTTGGGACAATAGTTAGATTCCTTTCAACGTGGTTCAAATTGTTCCTTTCAATCAACGACTGGACAATGTTATTTTTGGTTAAAAATATATGTACGTTGCTATTTCAGATAAAAAATAAACATGTGTTGCTCTTTTTGTAATATGTATATATAAAAAAAATTGTTTTATTGTAGGATAACATTAAAGTAAATTATTTTTTGTTAAAACTAAATATACAGTTTTAAATTCCATCAATTTAGATGCATGTCAAGTTTAAGTGCACATATACTATTTGTATTATTAGTTTCATTGTTTTGCATACATTATTGTTAGTTTTATCGATTTTCAACAATATATAGTTTTACTATTATCATCTATATTGTTTTTGTTATTAGTTCTATAAAAAATATCGATTCGAAAGATATATTAGAGTAAGAGTGTCTTTGACTTTTTTAATAATAACTTAGTGGTTTCTTTTTTACTTGATAAACTTTATGAATAAAAAGATAAACCTTATAAATATATTGTTATTTTCGTTTAAAATAAAAGTTATATTAGTTATGTTTTGATTCGAAACTTTTACGTTTTACCAATTTTTTTTAGATAATCTATTGGTATTTCTCAAACTATTCAACACTACTTCCAAACTAAACCTTTGTCAAAACTCAAACTTGAACCAAATATTTAATTCAAATTTTAAGGGACAAACAAAAAAAAAATTCCGATAAACAGCCAAAAATTATGATAAACACCCAACAGAAAGTCCACTCTTGAAATGCCCTTCTCCAGCATTCTCTTTCTTGTTAGCATCAGATACCCTCATATTGTCTATAGTCACTGAAGTTGTGTCTATTGTCGAGGTCTTTTCCTGCCATTAGCAATACATGTAAAGAATGGATGCCTTAAAGTTTAAACATACATTGGAATATTTGGGAAGTATTATGATTCAGAAGGCGACCTTGCTGCTCTACCAGATACTTGTATGGTGACCTCCTGCAAACACAATCTTGAAAGTTTATAAATTAACTCCATGATTGTTGTAAACATTCTAGATTTATCGCCAATCTTGAAAGTTTAGGCTTTAAGCCGACAAAATGTTGTTTCTCTAATAATAACCTGCAAGAAAAAAAAACTAAATCAGAAAGAGAGAGGGTAAGTGGTGTGTTTTAACTAAGAAACATCAATGTTTTAACTAAGATATAAAATGCAATCCCTATAGCCATGTAAGGGTATTATTGTAAATTTGTAATTACCTTACCATTATTAGGAAATTAACTCCCTTATGCTATATTAAGGAACACCTTCACCTATACTGGCTACAACTCTAATTGCAGGTTTTAAGAGCAAGATTAAATGAAGCTGCAACATCGCATAAATTTATAAAATATTAATAATAGTTAATTACCATAATATTAAAAGAAAAGCTCAATAACCAGTAATTACATGGGATAGAACTAACCTTCTGAGCCAGCTCCTCATTGTTCTCCTAAATAAATGGAATATTTCATAATTCAAACCACCATAAGCTTCTCTTATAGTGGCATCATGGAGCAGCCATTATCAACTTCTTTTGGTGGTAACTGCACATATATCACCAGTAATCATCAGATTAAAAAAAAGCATCAATTAAATTCAAGGTATGTTTTGAAAGTTATCCTGTTTCTTTTTCTTCTCATTATCAGCATCCTGTTGTAAAAGAAAGTATCATCTAGTTAGCCAACAATAAAGTAATGGAAATAAGAACATCAAAAGTAATTAGCAACGTTTATGATAAAAAGTGTATCAATCACTTGTAAGTTTGTTGATAAATCTGAATAGATTGAATTCATGAAACAAATTTTAGGAATCTTATGAAAAAAATTTACCTCATCCCAAGAGGAATTATCCATTCGAAGATCCAGGCCGAATATAAACTTCAATATCAGTAGGAATGTGTGTTAACCAATCAAGAATCTGAAATTTACACAAATTAAGTGAAAAAAGCATCAACTAAGATCTAAAAATAAGAAAAATATTAAATTTTAGTGATCCTCTGTCTTTTCCAGGGAGATAAAATCAAAATGTGTTGCTATTTTTGTTCATCCAAATTTGTTAGGATAAATCTCGTTCAGGCAGGTAACTACAAACATAAAACACCAAAATGCTTATACAGATCAAAGATTTGGAAAAAAAAAAAGACTAAATCGGAAAAAGAGAGGGTAAATGGTGTGCTTTTTGTGTGTACATGTGGAGGAGTGATTTCCATAACAGGGGTAATCTTTCCCTCCTCGGCCTAATAAAACAACGGAATTTTTTGAGTTCGTGAAGGGCAAAATGGGAATATAAAAAAGATTAAGATTAGGATTTTTACCAACTTCTCGTATGTTTCCTTGATTGAAGCTTCAAATGATTCAAATGAAGTGGGGACAACTGCTCCGGCATCTTTGAGTGCTTCATTTTTAGCTTGTGCAGACTCCATTTCACCACCACTTTTGGCTCCCTTATTAATGAATGGGTAAGTGAAAAAGATTAAACATGATCAACAGAATCACAAAATTACCCTTCCAAATTAAAGAAAGGAAAAATAACAATGTAATGTACGTTGTCTATATTGGTGAAAGGTTGCTATTTCTTGCATAATTTAGCATTTAAGAAAGTAAGATAATAAACTTACTGCATGACCAAATTGAACTTCTGATTTGAAGGGACGTGCACAAGTTCCACTGACCCAAGCGCATACTGGTTTATTGATTTTTCCTGATTTAAGTGCTTCAACTAATGAATATTCATCTCTTCCATCGAGTTCCCCAAGCACAACAATCATTTTTATCTGAAAAATACATATAAAAATGTCAATAAAATAAATAGAGAGATGAGAGATTTATAATTCCATATACCTGTGGAATGTTGTTGAATCTCAAAACATGATCAGAAAGGGTGGAACCGGGAAAAACATCTCATCCAATAGCAATGCCTTCATAGATGCCATTTGTCACACGCACGGTTATGTTATATAACTCGTTAGACATCCCACCCTGTAATTTAAATTTAAATTTCAATTTCAATTTTAACAATTATCTTATCTCTCACAATTACTAATACATGGTCAATTCAAGTCAAACATACTTACAGATTTTGAGACAAATCCAACAGATCCAGGCCTATACAGTTTGCATTGAATAATGTTATCAATTGTTCCAGCAGTGTCACCAATCTTGAAAGCTCCAGCTTGAATCCCACCAACAGTTGCAGGACCAATAACAACCTGCAAGAACAACCATCAGCAGTTAACTATGATTAAAGTTGTTAGGGGTATCATCGTAATTCCGTACCTTGTTGTTTGACCTTGCATAGATAGGAGATCAACTCCTTGGTGTCTGATTCAGGTTTTGTGGCCTCCTTTTACTGATGAATATAGTTATATATTAATGTCTTTATTATATTTATAAGTATTTAACACTTGAAATAAATGGTTATATTAATAAGAGAACCTGTTATGAAAAACTCAGCCATTGATTTTGCTTCAATTGTGGCTGATGCTATAATCAGGCGCAACTCAGGCCTTCTGCGTTGTATCTAAGAAATTAAAAATAATAAATATATGAAAAAGAATTGATATGAGAGGCAGTCAAATGTCGAACAGATCTACGTGATGAAATAACCAAGAGGCAGTCAAATGTCGAACAGATCTACGATTGAGTGAAAAAGGGGATATGAGAAATTTTAGGTTTGATATTTGAGTGAAAAAGGGGATATGAGAAATTTTAGGTTTGATATTTGAACAATACTAAGAGAAAAATTTACCTGGAGACTGAAGAGAAACCAATCGAAATCGATTGCCAATCGTTCAAAAAGTCGATTGCAGGGGTGCACTTTGGATTTTGTCTTGAAGAAATCAGATGGAAATTTTATAAACAGATGAAGAAGAGTGATGATGAGGCTGGCCATGCTTCCTGCGTCGCTGATCTTCAATCGCCGGCCGTTCCACCTGCGTCGAGTGTAAGCGGCGCTGTCCAACCGTCCGCTCCTCCGGTCGTGACGCCCCCATCTCCAATCTCCGACTCAGCGCCCGTCATACCGGAGTCGTTTCCTCCCTTGACGTCGGAAAAACTTGGCGATGAAAGGGAGAGGGTGGTGTGTTGCTGGAAACGTGGCGGAACGATGAACGAGGTGGTGAGGGAGACTATTTAGGGTTAGAGGGAAGAAGAAAAAAGGAGAAACAGAGAGAAGCGGCAGTGGTTTTTAAATTTTGAAAATGAAATACATGAGGAAGAATAGAGTGATGCAGAAAAGAAGGACACGGTGGCTATCTGTGTGAGTTGATCCATGTAAGGCACCGTGTGTTTGGTAGGTCTTCCCAAGTCAAGCATTAGACATTTGTACACAAGGCTCTACATGTTGTCTTTTTAGACAATTTTTAAACTCTCCATTTTCATTGGTTAATAACATTTCACACGGATCACCATTCAGAAAATCCTCACCGTTCAATATATATCCGACCATCCAAAATGTATTTCCTTGTTTTTTAAGATAATAGGCTTTATTTGTTGTACCTTAGGCTTTAAAATTTGTACTTAAGACATTGATTATGTACTCTTTATAAGATGGTATATATATATATATATATATATATATATATATATCCTAACCGGGGCGGGGTGGGGTGGGGATTAACAAGTAAGAAGTAACGACCTACCTAAAAGTGCATTTGCATGGATTAATATCATTACAAAGGACAAACAAACTTATGAAAAATACATTTGCATTTACATGGATTAATATCATCACAAAGGTATCTTCAAACAAACTTATAAAAAATACATTTGCATTTGCATCGATTAATATCATCACAAAGCCACAAAGTTAATACATTTGCATGGATTAATGTCATCACAAAGTTATGTTCATTTGAGGTTGTGTATAGCGTACATAGATAACTTCTACAAAACGAGTGCAGGAAATTGAAATGGAGCCCAAGAAGTTTTATAACTTGATGTGTATGTTTATAATTTGTATGGATGCATACTTAATGACAAACTAACACATGTCTCTCATATTAAAAGTTGATAAATTTCAAGATTGGATTTTTATATCTTCAACAACTTTGGGCAAAATTGCAGGATATTCAAAAGCAGTAGACTAACTGGCAGAATTCCAGATTTTTTATCACAAATTTCAAAATTGAGGCATCTGTAATAATTCTCCCTCTTCCATTACTTGATTGATTTAAAGCCTATTTTAGACTATATCCATTAGCATCATCTTGAGCATTTTTATTGTGATTATCTTTAGTGGTTGTGATTATGAAACAACGAGATCGATCTTTCCTACAATAAATTCAACGAAGAAAGTGTGCCCTCATAAAGTTTTAATCTTTCAAATCATCTTGTGATTCTTATCCTGCCCATATAATATTCTAAAGATAAAGCTTATGTCATCTTTCATTTATTAGGAACTTATTCAGAAGCTATCCTCCTGCAAGCAACTCGTAAGCTTATTATACCCATATATGGGTTATTTAGAAAGAATTTGTTTTTCTAAATTTCACCAAGTTTAATATTCCGATCTTTGATTGAATGCAGAGAGCTTGGGAAGTGCCTTAGCCAGTTTCCCTGTCTAAGGGGTGAGGAAGATACTTTCCTATTCCAATTAATTAATTTGAACATGAAAACCGAAGTTGACTGATTTTTATGTTTTTTGTTTTCTAGAGAACTACTCAATTCACATTAATTGTGGGGGACCTAAAGTGACCATTGGAAACTTGACATATGAAGCTGATGAGGATTCAGGTGGAGCAGCTAAGTTTGTTCCCACAAGACAAGTAGCACCGGCAATGCGTTGGGTGGTTATCATAGATTATCCAACTATGTAGCCACCAATGTATCTGCACTGACTGACTATTGATGATAATCAACTGTACACTACAGCTCGCCTCTCTCTACTATCCATCACTTACTATGGTCAATGTTTACCAAATGGGAACTATACGGTGACTCTGCATTTTGTAGAGATAATATGTCTTTTCAGAGTCTTGGAAAGCGTTTGATTAAATACATGAGAGGAAATATTGAATCAAAAACATCAAAATGAATATTGTCCATATAAATCATATGTAATTAAATAGATATAATCACATATGATGAAATACACGAGACCAACAATTTGAGTCGAAAACTCGAAAATAAATATTGTCCATATAAACCACATGTGATTAAATACATATAATCACATGTGATTAAATGTATCCAATAGCTTTTTTTTCATTTATTTAATCACATGTGATTATATGTATTTAATCATATATGATTTATGTGTACAAAATTTGTTTTTGTGTTCTCGATTGAATAGTTGTTCTTTGTCCATATTAATCATATGTGATTAAATATATAATCACATATCATTATATGTATCTAATCATATATGAATTATGTGAACAATATTTATTTTCGTGTTCTCGATTCAATAGTTGTTCTTGTATTTTTAATCATATGTATGTATCTAATCACATATGATTTATATGGACACTATCAATTTGTTTTTTTGTCCATATAAATCATATGTGATTAGATACATTTAACCACATGTAATTAAATACATGATCAAAATTATTGAATCGAAAACTCGAAAAATGAATTTTGTCCATATAAATCATATGTGATTACATACATATAATCATATGTGATTACATACATTTAATCACATATGATTATATACACAAGAGCAACTATTGAATCAAGAATGCGAAAACAAATCTTTTCCTACATAAATCATATATACATGAGACCAACTATTGAGTCAAAAACGCAAAAATGAATATAAATCATATGTGATTACATACATATAATCATATGTAGACAAAATTCATTTTCGCATTCTCGATTTAATAGTTGTTCTCATGTATTTAATCAAATAATATTATATTTATCTAATCACATATGATTAATATGGACAAAAAAGAATATTGTCATACATATAATCATATGTGATTATATACAAGAGAACAACCATTGAATCAAAAACGCGAAAACAAATCTTTGTCCACATTAATCATATGTTATTAACTACATATAATCAGATTTGATTAAATGCATGAGAAAAGTTATTGAATGGAAAACATGAAAACTAATCTTGTTTATATAAATCATATATGATTAGATACATATAATCACATGTGATTATATGTATTTAATCGCGTATGATATATGTGATTAAATACATATAATCACACATCATTTATGCCATTATATCATATATAGTGTTGGTGGTTGTAGGTAGTGGGTAGTGGGCGAGCGGTGGACATGCATTGTGGTGCGTTGTGGGTGGTGGTGGTGGTGGATTTAGGGCACGGTGGTGATGAGTAGTGGTGATGGGTGGTGGGTGATGGGGTGGAGGATGATAGTTGGTTTGTGGTGGTTGTGGGTGGTGGTTATGGGTGGTTATAGGTTGTAGGTGGTGGTGATGGTGAAGGGTGGTGGGGTGACAGGTGAGGCGGTGGGTTGTAGTGGTGTTGGTAGGTGGCAGTGGCGTGTGGTGGTGGCAAGTAGTGGTGGCGTGTGGTGATGTTTGGTGGTGGTAAATGGCAGGTGGAGGTGGTGGTTTGTGGTGGTAAGTGGCGGGTGGTGATGGTCGTGGTGGTGGCGGGTGGTGATAGTGGTGGTAGTGGTAGGTGGTGGTTGGTAGTAGGGATGGTGGGTGGTAGTAGGGGTGATGGGTGGTGGTTTTGGTGGATGTTTGGTGGGGGTAATGGTGGCAAGTCGTGGTGAGTGGTGATGGTGAATAGTGTTGGGTGTTGGTATGTGGGTGGTGGTGGCGTGTGGTGACGTTTGGTGGTGGTGGTGGTAAATGGTAGGTGGTGGCTGCGGGTGGTGGTGATGGTGGTGGGTGGTGGTTTTGGTGGGTAGTAGGTGGTTAGTGGTATGTGTGGTGGTGGTGGTGGCGGGTGTTAGTGATGGTGGTGTTTGGTGATTTTGGTGGGTGGTAGGTGGGGGTGATAGTGGCGGGTGGTGGTGATGGGTGGTGAAGGGTGAAGGGTGGTGGTGGGTAGTAGGTGGTGGTTGTGGGTGATGGTTGGTGGCTGTGACGAGTGGTGGGTATGGGTGGTGGTGTCGGCGCGTGGTGGTGGTTGGATGGTGGTAGGTGGTGGGTGATGATGGTGGTGGCGGGTGATGCTTTTGATGGGTGGCAGTGATGGGTGATGGAGGTGGGTGGGGGCGGTGGTGATTGGTGCTAAAGGTGGGTGGTGATGGTGGGGGTGTGTGGTGGTTTTGATGGGTGTTGGTAGCAGGTGGTGGTGGTGGTGGGAGTGGTGGTGATGGGTGGTAGGTAGTGGTGGTGGGTGGTGTTGGTTGGGTGGTGAGTGTTTGGTTTGTGGGTTTTTAATTGTTTGTAACTATTTTTTGATTTTTATGAATATTATTTTATAATTTTAATTAAAAAAAATTGTGTACTCCAAATTTGTTCTCAAATGTTCGCGCAATAAGAAATGTTTTCGATTGAACACTCCCACATATATATATATATATATATATATATATATATATATATATCTATATATATATTATATATATCTAAGTATTTAAAAAACAAATCAAAAACCAACAAATAAGGCCAAATAGTCATTCACGACGAAATACACGATAAAATTAAGTCTTAAGGACTGTCTGAATGAAAGAAAAAAATTTGAGACCAAATACACAAATCACCCCAAACCATAAGGAACCATCCGTATAATTTACTCAAGTATGTGTGTGTGTATATATATATATATATATATATATATATATATATATATATATATATATATATATATATATATATATATAGAGGAGAGAGAGAGAGAGAGAGAGCTAGGTTCAGGTATTCAAAGTAATTATTGTGTTATTGTATGCATCAATGTGGGCCAATCAAAATTAAATAAAAAAATTAAATAATAAAATAAATAAATAGGG